AAATGAACAGAACTATCCTGAGGTGGTAGTGACATATGTAGAGGCATAGTGAATTAACTTACTACTTTCTTCAAACAAAAGTGAGAATCTCTTTGAAGAATCAAAGCAGATTAGCAGACACATCTTATGACAGTTAACGAAATGCTTCTTATATCAGTGGAAAACTATTTCAATGGTGAGTATGATGTAGGAGTCAGAAGTATATTCTGCTGAGACACTAGGTAATTGACACTTTCTCGAACTGAAAAAGAAATTCATAAGGCATATAAAGTTATTGACTAAATCTGATTTGTTGTAAGAATAACTTGTGCCTAGTGAAATAGCTTACCAGCTGCCACCACTCCGGGGTCCTCATGAGACTGATGTCTCCCAGCTGCATGGCTGTCTGCACTCTAGTTCCACCAGGGAACATGAACTGCAGAAATAAACCAGAAATAAATGCTAAAGACTGTGACATTACTACCAATAAGAAAGACAGAAACATTAACCCAAAACTGGAAGTCCTATTCTTTCAATGAAAATAATAAGTATGAAAAAGGTAGCACTAAGTATTGGTGATGAGATTTCAGAGAGGTCAGAGATTTGGGTGAGAAATTTATAAATGAATTAGTCAAACTGGTGTTATAAATGAAGAAACTGAAAGCTTTTACTTTATTTTTAAAAAGTGAGATTGTATAAAAATTGTATTTACTGAATATTTGACTGATGCCCAGAAGCAATTAAAAAGTAGCCAAAACTTAACCTCCCAGGGAAAACCTGTATTAATATTTATTGTATTTCTTTGTAAAGAAAGAAGTAGAAAATAAAGGTCTTGCTGTTATATTTAGTAATAGATTCTAAAAAGTCAACAATGAGAATTTTCTATGGCAATATTATTCATTTTTAGTACTTATGTAAATTTCTTCTCATAATTATAACATCTTATTATCCCAACCACATACTGCTTATTATTTGTGTTCTTCAAAATAGTGTGATATTCTAAAGAAGATTGAAATACATGTTCTTGTACTTAAATTACTTAAAAAGTTAAAAATACTTATAACACATGTTACTTGTATAGATTTTGGAAAATGCAGATAAACAAAAAGAGAAAGTAGGAATAGTTTCTAATCCTACCACCCAGGATTAATCCTACCACTTTTCTATTTTGGGTTTCCCTGGTGGCTCAGATGGTAAAGAATCTGCCTGCAATGCAGGAGACCTGGGTTCGATTCCTGGGTTGGGAAGATCTCCTGGAGAAGGGAATGGCTACCCACTCCAGTATTCTTGCCTGGAGAATTCCATTGACAGAGGAGCCTGGCAGGCTACAGTCTGTGGGGTCGCAAAGAGTCGGATACAACTGAGTGATTTTCACTTTCCATATTTATGTATTAAAGAGTCGGATACAACTGAGTGACTTTCACTTTCCATATTTATGTATATATGTATATATTTTATATGTTTATATACTCATCTACACACAGCATATATGTTTATGCTTATATAACATACATGATATGTATGATGTATGTCTGAACACTCTTTGTGGACTCTGGGAGTTGGTGATGGACAGGGACGCCAGGCGTGCTGCAGTTCATGGGGTTGCAAAGAGTTGGACACAACTGAGCGACTGAACTGAACTGAACTGATGTCTTTACTTGGTGAAAACGGCATCTCATTATTATCTTCTTTTTTTTTTCATTTGTTTTTGGCTGTGCCGGGTCTTTGTTGCTGTGCTGGCTTTTTCTAGTTGTGGTGAGTGGGGGCTGCTCTCTTGTTGCAGCGTGCGGGCTTCTCGTTGCAGTGGCTTCTCTTGTTGCACAGCATGGGCTCTGGGGCATGTGGGTTTCAGAGGTTGTGGTGCACGGGCTCAATCGTTGCAGCTACTGGGCTCTGGAGCAGAGGCTCAGTAGTTGTGGTGCCTGGGCTTAGTTGCTTCATGGTATGAGAGATCTTCCAGGACTAGGGTTTGAATCCATGTCTCCTGCGTTGGCAGGCAGATTGACCTGCATGCAGACTTCTCAGGAAGCAGGTAAGGTGGTCTGGTATTCCCATCTCTTGAAGAATTTTCCATGGTTTGTTGTGATCCACAGACAAAGGCTTTAGTCAATGAAGCAGTTGGTTCAGTTCAGTCACTCAGTCATGTCTGCTTCTGCAACCCCATGAATTGCAGCACGCCAGGCTTCCTTGTCCAACACCAACTCCCGGAGCTTGCTCAAATTCATGTCCATCGAATCGGTGATGCCATCCAATCATCTATCTCATCCTCTGTTGTCCCCTTCTCCTCCTGCCTTCAATCTTTCCCAGTATCAGAGTCTTTTTTAAGAAGTCAGTTCTTTACATCAGGTGGCCAAAGTATTGGAGCTTCAGCTTTAGCATCAGTCCTTTCAATGAATTTCAGGACTGATTTCTTTAGGATTGATTGGTTTGATCCTAACAATTTGTACTTCCTCTGGAAATAATTTTTAATGGCTATGGGAATTCCTTCTTGTAACAACATTTCATCCCAACCCCTTATTATTGGTCAATTAAATTATTTTCACTAATTCAATATTCTTTGAAATCCTGGGATAATGTTCTTGTGCGTAAATTTTTATAATATATACTATATATATAGGAAAATGGAGAGAAAGAGAAAGTACCAGGCATTTCTATAAAACCCAGAAAAAACCGTTTTAATACTTGGCGTAACTCTGTCCACAGTTATGCATATATATTTGTATTTACACACATGCTTCTCTGGTGGCTTTGTGATAAAGAACCGGCCTGCCAAGGAAGGAGATGCAGGTTCAATCCTTGGGCTGGGAAGATCCCCTGGAGAAGGAAATGACAACCCACTCCAGTATTCTTGCCTGGAGAATCCCATGGACAGTGGAGCATGGTGGGCTACAGTCCATGGAGTTGCAAAAGAGTCAGACATGGCTTAGCGACTAAACAATAACAGCAATACATATAAACATGTATAAGAATATATGTTTATAATTACATTATATATGACACATATTTATATATCTATTTATGTATCACATGTGTGTTACATAAAGAAGTTCATACCACATTGTTTCCAAAGTTTCCTTACTATAAACAATGCTGATATAAACTTGATTAGAGCAGCAGTACATGTACATCTATGATAAGAACATTTACCACTAACATTTGTTGGGTGCTTGCTGCAGTGCTGGGCCTGGTTTAAATTCTGCATGTGTTAACTCATTTAGTTTTCATAATAACCTTAGGTGCAGGTTATTATCACTTATGGATGAGAAAAATAAGTAAGGCACAATAAGGTTAAGTAACTCATTCAAGGTCATAGAGTTTTAATTGGTGGAGCTGGGATTCAAACCCAGGCAGTCTGGATCTGATTATTTTCTTAATATAAATTCCTAAAATTTAGACTGAGAGAAGCAAAGAGTATCTTATATACATATATACACACTTACAAAATACAGTGTATGTATTATAAACTATCCTCAAGAAGTGAAGTACTGATTTATACTCAGCATATTATATTATCATACTCCTAGTATACTGAGAATGAAGTTAAGATGAAAAGATGTGTGTACACACATTTCAGTAGTTTTTTAAATAAAAAAGTCTACACATTCATTATAGTAAATTAGAGATTTAAAAAACCTTTAATCTGATCATTTAAGTATGACCATGTATTTTATGTCCTTTCAAATTTTCTTCTGGTAGAACTAAAAACATTCATGTTTCCTAGAATGTAGGCAAAAACAATTGAAATATTAAAGCTTTTTATTTATATTTATATTGCCAAATTATTGGAGGGGGGCAAACTTAAGCCTAACACAGTACAACAATATTTGTTTTTCCCTGGCCCCTCTAATACTGTATCTTTATAATACATTTTTATTAGGTAAAAAATGACATCTCATTATTGTTTTAATCTGCGTCTTTTTAAATATATATTAGTCACCTGTGTCATCTTGGCATATGCTTTTCTTTTGGATTTCATATATATATATACACACATATATATATATAAACACACACACACATATAAATGCACAAAATTTGAGCCTTTGAATAATAAAATCAGTTGATTATTTTTTTTCCTTCATAGTTTCTTCATTTGTTTTTGGCTTACAAATGTTGTTTTCACATATTAATAAATTTATCTATATTTTGTTTCAGTAATTCTATGAATTCAGTTTTTAACTGAGATCTATAATCCATCTTGATTTTATTTTAGTGTATGGTATGAGATGGGCATTTAATAATTATCATTTTTCTCTTCTTCATGTATTTCTCAACTGGGACAAACATGTATTTTTGCACAGTTCTACTTTATTATTTCCTTTTTACAATATATTATCAGAATTTGAATTTCTGGGGAATGATTAACTCAGTTTTTGGATATGCTAGGTTTGAGATGTCCATTAGACATGAGGCAACTGGATATAATGGGTTTTCAAATATTAAAAGTCTTAATCATTTATTCTTACAGATAAACTTTATAAACATTTTCTGAGTTTGCCACAAAAAAAACCCCACTCAAATTCTGATTGGAGTATCTTTCAACTTTAAAAGTTAAGTATACCAAACAGATGTTTTTATTAAATAAATCAGTATGGTATATATACTATGTGTATCTAAGCAGTGTGAGATTGGTTAATTTATTTCTTTGTGTTTGTCCGTGTTTTTAATATTATAATAACTATATACTACTTTTCACCCCAAAACAATCTCCTTATGTCAAGTAATATTATTTTTTAAAAAATCACAAAAGGTTCAAATAGTACAAGCTTTCATGTATAAAATAAATAAGTTGTTAAGACAATAAATTTTAAAAGTTTCCATTATAAGAAAAAAAAATTTGTAACTATGTGAGGTGATGGATGTTAACTAAATTTATTGTGGTAATCATTTCACAATATATCCATACATCAGATCATTATGTTCTACACCTTAAACTTATACAAGGTTATATGTCAATTATATTGCAATAAAACTAGAAAAAAATAGTAAAAGTACATTAAAAAAATGATGAACAGGTGATTTCTTGAGATTCTTTCCAGTTTTTTAAAATTTTATCATTTTGATAGAGAAAAGAGCAGTTCAATATTTGAAAAAGGCTTCATAAGGTATTGATATTCTATATAAGATTGAAAACAGGTTTACTTAACTCTTAAAATTACAAAAAAACTAATAATTTGGCAATAAAAAGTAAAATACACTCAACAATGAGAACAGAAACAAACTGACCCAAGGAGCTTAACAGCAGATCAACAGTATACTTTGTAATTTCATAGAAGAGACGGACAACTGTACCTCTGTTGAGTACTCCATATTCTGCATGGAACACTCCAACTAATTTTGTGTAGCCTTGATTGACATGAGTATGAACTGCCCTTTTAAATGGGTCACCCCACAGAGCTGGCCCACCAGGTTTCATCTGAAAAGTAGCCAATTCATAGACTCCTAGAATAGGGAGAAAAATATTTTACAGAAGACATTCAAGCAGTTTGTAGTCCTGTCTAGTTTGGTTCTGGTGAAAAGCTAATCTACATATATAGATTTGGAGGATCATACATGTACACATGTTTATGTAGACATTTGTTAATAATTTGCACTGTTTTTCTGTGCTTTTATGTTTAGAAAGTCTTTGTTCTAGTTTAAGGGTGAGTTGTTTTAGTTTAATGTACAGAACAAAGAAAAAGGGACTAGAAGATACAGGTAAGTTATTATCTAAAATTTTTTAACCTATAAAATTTATTAATAAAATAGTGAGAATTTATAGCAGAATAGGACTTTTTTAGCTGCCTGCATCTACACTTTCATAACAGAGATGAATAAGAGTATTTTCCCATTTCTTACAGCTCTACTCTTCAAATTTCACCACTTTTTTGTTTTATGTAATTGCCTCCTATAGGTTTGCATTTCTACCAGCAAGAGCAGGCAAACGATGAACCTCAGAGTTTTTGAGGGAAAATGAATCCTAAAGGAGATGCTTTTATTATTCCTAAATATCCAGGTAAATTCTTGAAAAGCATTTTACCTTTGGATAGAAGTATAGAGTGGATGGACAAAAAGAAACCACAGGACCAGTAGATTTGAGAAGTAGAGGAAAAACATGCAAGTTACTGAAGAATCATGAATGACACAGAGGAAGAGAACAAAGACTTGATATTATCTTTGAAGTCCAGTAGCTCATTTAGATGGTGTCAAAAGCTGAGGGGGATCTAGGCAGATAAGGATCTAAATAAGACTTTTCAATCTCTTATAATCTAAAATGCACTATAGAGTTGGGAATAATGGGGGGAATAAAATACCATTTCAATTAGTTTATGCTTTTTCTAATCTGACCTTTGGTTAAAACTGGATTGAGGTAATAATTTCTTTAAGTCAGCAAGAAGTGAAATCAGGAAGAAGACAAATCTTTAGGAATTATTTTCAAACTGAGAAATAAGAAAGAGGAAGACACAAACGTTAGACTACAGTAATATAGCTTGGCAGTTTCAGTTAATTCATTCCCCCCAAACAGTCAATTTTATAAGCAAATTTATACTTAATGATTTGAGATTGATAGTGACTTAAGGAAAATACTTTAAAAAGTTTATGTTTTTTTAAATTATGACAAAATATCATACATTTTCCCTCATTTACCCACATGTGTTCCTTGTTCCCAAGGCCCAAATTCTCAACCTTTAGTGACCACGTCAACTTTTTCTATAATACAGCTAAATTTTAAGCATCAGAACAATACTAATTTGGAAAGATACTTCATTATTATTTAATGCTCATTTTTAAAATTAAGAGCTCCAATTTATTTTTATCTCAACAATCAACATATATTCCTATATTAAGCAAAAGATTAACTTCATTTTCCCCACTAGAAGTTTAGTTTTTATAGTTTAAAATCTTAAGTAGTTTCTCCATCAAAGCTCAAAGTGGGTAAGACAGAAGGACTTACCTTCTTTTGGAGGTTTTACTAATTTGCACCATGGCACCAGATAAGTGATTTCACTCTCCTGTTTATCAATAAGAGCCAAATTTGGAATGAGAAATTGTTGTTGCCATTCCTTGTCTTTGGCCAAGGCTTTCTGAACTTCAGTTCGATGAGCAAAATTGTCTATAGGAAGGAGTAAGAAAAATAAAAATGCTTGATTTAAAACCACCTCTACTTTCTCTGGGTTTCATTCAATTTTATAAACATTCATCGAGGCCACATATGAACTGTGCTATATTACTGGAAATACCAACACTGTTCCCAATTGTCCATGGTCTTAAACAGGAGCAGCAATGTAATCAATTAATGATGTCATACAGTAGTGAGCTTTATATGCTCTAGCACTTAATAGGTAGTTGTGAGAGTTAGGTAAGTTATTGAATCTTTCTGTGTCTATTTAACTCCAGGGCTGACGTGAGGATTAAATGAATTAGTACATGAAATGAGCTCAGCACAGCACACTGTTTGATACCTAGTGAGTACTCAATATATGTTAACTATATTTACTAATTTTATTGAGGCATTTAAATTATAGTGCCAGTTTAGAAAAACACTTTTTATTTGTTAGTGATGATGGTGAAGAGTGGTCAGGTCAAAGTACAATTGAATTAAATTTAACATGAAGTTAAATTAACATGAAATGAAGTTAATATTTGCTTTTAGGCCTCTCTGAACAAACAGCTTCTAAAGAAATAGTGCTCCTTCTCTTGTCACCCATTCTTTTTAACCCATTACTATTTCTCCTGTTTGTTACCCATATGTTACTAACATATGGGCCTAGTACTACTATATTTAGTAATAGGACCTTTTAAGACTAATGGTAAAAGAGTTTTCTATGGTTTATGCTGTGTAAATAAGGAATAACAGTTATCTTAGAGCTAATGTAAGTTATATCAGGACGTTACTAGTAATTTTCTTAGTGGAACATGATTCAGCTGGTGGTGCATAAAGGCATAAGTTGTGTTTTAATGGGGTTTGTTCTATTACAACAGGGAGAGCCCCTAAACTATGGCCATGCTAAATACAGAATGAGTAAGAGTGCATGCTCAGTCGTGTCCGACTCTTTGTTACTCCATGGACTGTAGCCCATCAGGCTCTTCTGTCCATGGAATTCTCCAGGCAAGAATACTGGAGTGGGTTGGCATTTCCTACTCCAGGGGATCTTCCTGACCCAAGGATGGAACTCAATTCTCTTGTATCTCCTGCACTGGCAGGTGAATTCTTTACCACTGTACCACCTGGGAAGCCCTTTACATGTAGAACTACTTTATGACTATTTGGACACTGATGACCAGACAGTAAATCAAATTATTAAGTCGTGTCTGACTCCTATGACCCCATGGACTGTAGCCCATAGGGTTTCCCAGGCAAGAATTCTGGAGTGGGTTGCCATTTCCTTCTCCAAAAATTATTTAGGTATCATTAAGTCCTTATGTGACATCACAAAGATCTGATACTGCAGTAATAAATATTCTGGGGATTCCTGTAATCGTTCTCCTTTTTCTAAACCCGTGGTTGGTCAGCTTCAGTATCAGAAGAACAAACTCAGTCCCTTTTCTTTTACCTCCATAGACTAGTATGACAGTGAATTTCTGGAAACTCTGGGGGCACAAAAAATCAAGAGTGGCCCTGAAAACAACAGAATTATTGAATCTTACAGGTGGATGAGTGGTTTGAAGTTAACTATCATCCCCTGAAAGTGAAAGTCACTCAGTTGTGTCCAACTCTTTGTGACCCCATAGACCATAGAGTCCATGGAATTCTCCAGGCCAGAATACTGGAGTGGGTAGCTGTTCCCTTCTCCAAGGGATCTTCCCAACCCAGGGATCGAACCCAGTTCTCCTGCATTGTGGGTGGATTCTTTACCAGCTGAGCCACCAGGGAAGCCCAAGAATACTGGAGTGGGTAGCCTGTCCCTTCTCCAGCGGATCTTCTGGATCCAGGAATCCCCTATCAACTTCTGTTTCCCTAAAGTCCGCTAAATGTTTGAATGATTTTGGCTAAAACATTAATATCCAGATGTAGCTTCAATATAAAGACAAATAATTCTTTTCTTTATGACCCTAACCCACTTGGGTTCTTGCAATCACTGCTTTAAACTTTTCATAAAAAATCTTTACAATAAGCCGCTCTAAACTTTTTTTTTTGGATTTAAAGTTTAGTTTACAATATAAAGGTTCCAGTGATGGGCTGTTAGGTGTACTGTTGGGAAGAATAATCACTGAATTTATTTTTGGTATTGCTTTTTAAAAGTGTTACTTAACCTGTATGTTATTAAAAGTAACATAGATCCAAGAACTAAGTCTCATGTAATATCTAACAGAATGGACATCTGTACTGAATGCTTAAGCTATTGACTCATACCATACTTCCAGATATGAAACACTTTATTCATTCTGCCTCCAAATTCTACACTCCAGCATCCAACCAATTCAGAGTGAGCTGTCCGAAGATGAATGTTTTTCTTAACATTTTCCAGGAATTCATTCATCTTTGAGGGCTTAAGATAATAGGTACGGAATTCATAGAATGTTCCATCATATTGTCTGGGGCCTGTAGCAAAAGATGAACACACCTGAAGAAAGATAAGGAAAATTTAAATATTCTGGGAAAGACGGGTTTATAATATTATGTTACAACCAAATTTGAGTCTGGAAACAAGGGACACACATTAGATTTATAATCTGTTTGGACTTCTGTTGTCTTCTCTCCATAAAATTTTAGAGATACGTCAATAAAGATGCCCACTTTGAAACATTCTATAGCTACTGTTTCCTAGGATGGCGTCTACCATTAGTCACTTTTTCATGAGAAGTTGCTCACAGGAAAGCACTGGGGCACTTTCTTTACAAAAGGACTAGAATTAGGATCCTAATAGTCTTTACAAATAGTTTATTACCTCTTATTTAACCAATATCCCACCTTTATTGAATAGTATATATGCTAGAGTTAAAACATTTAAAACAATTTCTAAATATACAGGTATTTTGGCTAGCACAATGAAAATGTGTTTACTGGCAAAAATTTGTTTTTTTAAGGTTCCTAAAACAATGGAAATTCCTGGTCAAATCAAAGTATTTTTTAAATCCAGTGAAGCACACAACTGGTCAAAAATAGGACAGGAGTTTAACTAATGTAATAGGAAACTATGACCTAGCCAATTGTATTGTAATACGGTGATATCCTGTGTAAACCCTAGAAAAAGAAAAAAAAATCAGTGTCAGAATTGTCTGAATAGTTACTAGGTTTTAATTACAGATGCAATCTGCAGAAGGGTATTTAATCCACCCAATTATAGTAGGTTGATGTAAATATCAGTTAAGAACCATTAGTCACTTCTGTAATAGTCATATGCTCACAATGTAAATTTCTAATTTGGTTCTCTGAGTGAACTTAACTTTCAGTAGGAAATGCTTTGTGTATTGTATGTGTTTGTGTGTATACATAGGTATAAACAAATACATACTATATATATATATACACACACACAAATATACACACACACTCATATAGTATTCTAGTTTACATATCCATCCTATTTAAGTTTTGTTAGCATGTGCACATTTCCTGAAGTTGATTATACCAGAATTATCTATTCAAATAGTTTAGGTACTTATAAAGTTATTGATGAATTTTGGCCGTATTTTGACTACCTGATATGTCAAAGAAAGCAGTACACTTCATGCTGTGACATATATTTTGTTCACCGAACACAGTAATACATATATTTTACTTAACTGTGTATAAGGCTTAATTACAATCTCTTTTGAGGTCACTCCAAGTCTATGATGAGTCATATTCTTATTGCCCAATTGACTACACTTGCCATCAAAAATAAGCGCAGCTGCCCCTGCATTTGGCAGATGTTCTTTTGGTGCCATTTTACCAAACTTTACTAACACAATATTAAGCAAATAAAAGCTGCCTACTACTTATAGTTTAAAAATATTATAAATAAAATGTATCAGATATCAGAAAATGGGTCAATGGAGTAGTAACAACTTTTCAGGGAATTCATATTTGGAGATCAAAATATGTGATCAACAGCACACATTTTATTATCACTGGCAGAAGAAATATACAATAGGAAAGCTCAGGGAAAGGTTAACAGCAAGGGGTATGTGGTTTGTGAGAAGTCATGAAGTGATTTTTGTTGATGAGTGCTTCCTTTTCTCTAAATTAGGGCTCATTTTCCTTAGTAGTGACTTCCAATTCATGTATAAGATAACATCTGGTTGACATTTAATAACGTCAAAGTACAGAATAAAATTCTAAGGAGTAATTCTTTATCCTGCCCCAGTAGAGAGAATCAGGATAAAGGCTGTAATGCAATCTAGAGTGAAGGAGCCATCAATGGTTTCTCTTTAGTCTCCACCAGAAAGTCAGTTTGAGAAGGAAGCAAAAGCCTGAACATCAAAAGGAAAAATCTCTAGGTTAGATTCACAGAATAGGCCAATCCCTGACAGTTAAAGCTGAATCACAATAATCTGTTTTGTACATTTCTCATCCAGATTAAATGAAGTTGTCATCATCATATTTGCTACCAGGTTCCTAACAGTGGCTGACTCGGGCACCAACCTCAGGGGACTGTGACAGCTGCGCAGATGCTCCACCACCCGAACCCTGGGCCCTCTCTTTAAGGTTCTCTGCCTGCAAAATGCTGGGAGGTTGTGTATTTCATTTAAAAGGCGGAGAATTGTTCTGTTGCTCCTTCAGTCTGGAGGGGCTTGTCAAAACATACTAAGAGAGGCTGGACCAGTGCCTAGTACAGGCCCCAATGCGTCAACAGCAACCTCGCGGGTCCGCAAAGACGCAGCAGCTGGCGCTTCAGGCGTGTCCTCACGACCAGCAGGCACCCAGGCTAGGCGACCCTGGCAGTGGGTCTTCTCCTAAAGGCACCCTTCCTCCCTCCTTCCGCGCGTCCCAGGGACCCCGGCCTCCGGATTCCGAGACTTGCTAGAACTTCTCGGGCAGCACCGCGCGGGCCGGTCTGGGCCCACTAACGCATGCGCGGCCCGCTCTCTACCCCCGCAGACGCCCCCGCCCCCTGCTCTCCTCCCCCAGGAAACGTTTTGGGCGCGCGTCCCGGCGGCCGGTACCTGAGGCGCCATCGTTGGAGCGGCCAGGGCCCTAGTCAGGCTCCTTCGGAAGGCAAGCATGGTGAGGCTTCGAGCGCTGAGAAGGGCAGCGGCCGACACTCTTCCTTAAATTCCTCCTCTGGTGTCGTCCTCACTGGCAGGGAGCAGCGCCTGCACTACTGCGGGAGGCCGGCTCTGGGCGGGTCGGCTCCTCCTCCTGAGGGGGAAGGGCGTGGGGCTGGCCGCGCCGTCAGCCGGGCCTCCTCCGCACGCCGAGCTTCGGAAGCGTTTGGTGTCAGCCCTGACCCTCTCCGTTTGCTCTCTAAAACGTTCTTTTCCTCAGCGTCAGAAGTGATATTAGAATTAGCAGAATGTTGACTTCCTCGTTCCTATACCACCTGTCTGGGCCCATCACCTCATCTCCTTGCGCACTTGCTACAGTTAATTGGTAAAAGCGCGCGTGTGGAACGCGAGTGTGTGACCAGGGAGCCATCACTTCTCTCAGTGCATTTTCCTTCCCCGTCCCTACTCACAGCGTGAAGCTGTAAGGCTCCAAATAATTTACATTGTATTTTTCACGAGCTCAGAGGAATGGGGGTACCGAGCTAGATACGAACAATTCAAAGATAAACATACGTTGTCAAAATTTTGTAGCCCTTAAACAAAACCTCTGGTCTAGTCTTCCCTATCCCTGATTACTGCTCATCAGAATAACTACCTTCTAACATTTCGAGCTGTTTCTTCTAACGCCTGTTTCTGTATTTTAAAATAACACGCATATTCCGCTGTTTCTTATTTTTTTTTTTTTCCTTTCTTTTCTGTTTAGATAGCATCTTTTGACTCTTTCTGTGGAGGAAGAGAATTTACGTCTCTAGTATAGCACTCCCCCCAACTAATTTCCCTTTCTGCATCTAATAGTGTTTCCCCTAAAAAAAAAAAAAAAAAAAATCAATTGATTACATCACTAATTTACATTATTTACATCATATATGTTGATGTTATTCTTGCTAATAGTTGCATTATTGCAAACATTAATCTAATATTTCTTGTATTATCAGCACTAGGGGGGTTAGTTGTGCCTTGTGCAATGACTTGAATCATTCCTTCAGAGGAAAGGATTATTTTACAAAACAAAGCAATATCTGTGCCCAGACTGGATCTTTATGTTTAAATTAATTTTCTCAGACCTCCCTCCCCTATGCTGGAATTTATAATTCATTTCCTCATTCAAGCTGTATTAATTAAATTTCCTCTATGCTGACTGAATCACTTTTCTAGAAACTGGTGTTCACAGGTGAATAAAGCACAATGTCTGTGTGTCCTTGGAACTTCCAGGTTAGGGGAGGCAGACAAATGAAGGAAAAATATATCAGGGATTAAAACAAGGAAAAACAGTAGAATAGGGAGAATAGAGAGTGCTGGAGGGTGGTAGCAGAGATCGCTGGCTATTTCCCAATAGTCATTTTTCTCCCAAACCCCCTTAAAAAAATACCAATAGAACCCGGGCAGCTTGGTGCAGCCATGTGACTAAGTCCTAGCCAGTGGGATATTTTAGCACATTTATGACCTGCTGTAAGCTATCTTAAAATAATGTAGGAGGGATTGTTTCACTCTTTGTCTTTTTCTTATTTCTGCTTGCTGGAATGTGGAAGTAATGAGTTCTTGGACTTTGAGGTAGAAGCCAGGTGCTGGAGATGGCAGAAAAACAAAAGAAGCAGCCTAGGTTCTGATACTAGGAGCCTTGGCCTGCCTGCTTCTGGACTTATTTTAGGAGAGAATTCATCTTCTAGTTTAAGCCACTGCTGTGTGGCATATACCTATGATCTTAATCACGGAAGGGTGACTTTTTAAAATTTCTTTTTCATTTGTTTCTCTTTACCTTTTATTTATTAATCACCAAGTTCTTTGCCCAAACTCAAAATGTTTGAAACTGTTAATCAGCTTTTCAGCTTCCTCTTCTAGAGTTATCTGTAAGGAGTCTTTTAGTCTCTTGATCCAGTGTGGACTAAATGTTCTCTAAAGTGGCCCTGTAATAATTCTTGGATCTCCTTTCACTCATCTGCTAGAAAATCTCATTTGCCTTTGAGAGGATATCCTTTTTCCAGGATCTTTTATCTTTTTTTTTTCTGCCTAATTTTAGGAGAGGGTATATGGGAATTAAACTTTTGAGGCTTTCAGCTCTAAAAATTTGTCAACTTCCTTAATTTATAGTTTGGGTGGATATGAACTTCCACACTGGAAATAATTTTTCCTTTTTTTAAAGGTACTGCTCCATTGTGTTATAGCTTCTGGTGAGATGTTCGTGCCATTTTAATTCTTGATCCTTTGTATGTGACTTGTCTGGAAGCTTTTATATTCTTCTCCTCCCTAAATTTCTGAAATTTCACAGTGATATTCCTTGGGATAGATCTTTTTTCATCCATTGTGTCTCATTCAGTTGACCAGCTGTCTTGCTGATCCTGTCTGTGATGCCGATTGTCTTACTGTATTTCCGTGTGCACACTGCTCACTGAACCCATGGTAGGCAAGGCATGAGCTAGGAGGCTGGCAGAAAATGTGAGGAGCTGTAGGAACTGCAGATGGGTTTATTCTCTCCTGACTGGCATAGCAGCCTTAGCCCCAGACATAACATAACACAACATAACCACACACAACCTTTAGGGCTTCTCCAGGTGAAGCTTATGCAGGTGTGCTGCACCAAGTAGCCCATGATCAAGTGAATGATGTGCATGTGCAGTGCCATGAATGATCTCAGCTGTTACATAAAGCTCATGACTGCATGTGTAGTGCTATAAGTGATCTCAACTGTTCCATAGTCATTGTTTACAAAACCTGGGGTAAGAGAGCCTAACCACAACATCTTGGCTAATTTGCTTTCTCCCAACACTACCCCCCTCCACCCCACCCCTGTCCACTCCACCTCCCCGGAAGCTCTTAAATTATGAGAAATTTGTTGTGTTTCTTGGATTTTTTTCTTCCTCCTCTATCTCTGGAACTTTTGTTATTCAAACATCATGCCTCCACTTGATCCTTGAATTTTCTTTATTCCTACTAATTTTTAAATCTTTTTTTTGCTTTTTTTTGGGGGGAGAAGGGTCATGAAATGTTCCACATTTATTTTGTAACTCACCTAATAAACTTTAAAATGCCTGATTTAAATGTCCAGTTTATTTCCAAAAGCTCTTTTTAACCTCTTTTTTCCAAGAATGCTTTTTCCCCCTACTGTCTTCAGAAGTATTATCATCTTTTTGTCTCATTGGTTTAATATTTCTGTTTCTCTGGGGGCTTAAAAATTGTTTCAAGTCCTCATTTGAGTTTTATTTTGTTTTCTATATATTTTATTATTTTTCCTCTCTCTGTTACTGAAGTTTTTCCTGAAGTGTTTTTATATTTGTCTGTCAACTCATTTTTTAAAGTGGGACTATAAAAATTTGAAAGCTCTGTGAGTATGGTGGGTCTTGCCAAGTCATGAGCTTTACTGTAGGGTGATCTGACTGGGTAGTTTCCTTCATTAGATATTGATTACCCCAGCTGTTATTGTCCGCTTTCTCTGCAAGGAAACTTCTGGTGTCCTACCTGTGAGGTCTAATCTTTGTTGTCAAGTTTTTGAGGCTAAAAAGAGAAGAAGCCAGAGATCTTGATATTTGACAGTATCTTTAGAGAAGGAAATGGCAATCCACTCCAGTATTCTTTGCCTGGAGAATTCCATGGACAGAAGACACTACAGTCCACGAGGTTGCAAATAGTCATACACGATGAAGTGACTATCACTCATTTACACTTCAAGAACATATACTATATATACACATATATATACTAGGCTAATGTATATCATATAGGCTAATATATGTGCCATATATATATATATATGTATGTATGTGTAAATATACATACATTATATACAGATAAATAGTTTAGGCTGTAATACATATTGCATATATATTATAACATATATAATCTAGACTAATTTGCTGTTACAAATTGACACCAAAAGTGTATTGTGACTCAAACACTAATTTTGTTTTTTTAAATGAGCAAACAGTGCGTTTACTTAGATGGCAGGCAGCTCTTCTATACGTAGAGACCTAGAGTCTTCAGTGCTGTGGCTTGACCGTCCCCTAGAGGCTCATCATTAACTGCATGCAACCAAGAGCAAGATAGAGGAAATCTCCAAGAATATTTCCAAGAGGGAAATGCTTATAAGATAGGAGTAAAATTTATGGCTACAACTTGGAATTAGATAAACATTGTTAAATACTTTTAGGGGCCTAAGACAGTCTCCTGTTTAGTTTCTCACAGATTTTAATTATCCTCAAAGTTTATAGTTAAACTTTATCTAAATGGTGAGATTTTGAGAGATAAATAATTTCCTCAGGTTCATTGCTGCTAAGTGCTAAGTGGCCCAGCCAGTACCACTTTTAATTATTGCTCATCCGGTTCAGTGAGTGTGAAAGTGCATTTTTTACACTGTACATAACAAATAGTTATCAGTTAAAGGGTGGAGGAAATTATATGAGGTGGGTAAAGGCAACAGTCCACTTGATGATGTCTCTACACGGTTTTGTCCAAAGGTCAGGCTCATCACATCTGCAAAACGAAGTGGGCGAGGTGGATTCAACACTAGCCCAGCTGCATAGGAGGGCAGTAGCTTTACATGTAAACTCCAGATACTCGAACTCTGGTGATGTCCCTGCTAAGTACTTTCTTTGTGCTGCGTTCTGTGGTCACTAGGTGGTGGTATAAACTGGTTTCTTTCTTTAGGCCTTTCATAGTGTGAGCTATTTTTGTTACTTTTGAGTTCCTGTAACTTAACTTTACAGGTATTTAGAGTGGAGTTCTCTCAGTTCTTCTTTTTTTGTCATATGATATTATGTACTGAAGAGGACACCTGCAGTAATGATGAATTACTTAAAAAACTTTTATGAGTTGCTTTATTATAAATATAAATGGTAATAAAGTAACAAATTTTCATTCAGTGTTTGTTAGCAAATATGCTGTTCATATGGGTGAATATGTATTAAGTACTTGTTGTGTGTTGAGTATTAAGTGTTATGGGGAAGGAAGAAGACTGGGTGCCTTTTCTTGAGCTTGTCAATGTCTTGATATTTCTGTATCAGTCTGTTTCCTGCTAGCATTCTTAGACTAAGCAACAGGAAAGACTTGTGAAAAGCTCAAAATTACATATAATGTGAATTTATTTAACATTATTTCTATTAATAAAGTAAATTGTTTTTAGTACTAAAACATTTTAACATGAGTTTAATGTATTATATACATCCCTTTTTAGAAATCCTTAATTGACTTTAAGTTTTGCATTTGAAAGTGAATTCTAGTGCCAATGACCTTTAAAAGCTCTTAATAAAAAAGCAATTATTTCCTAAGATAGGTTTTGCAAGTCTGTTGCTTTGAATAATCCTTGGGCCTCACAACTGCAGTTGGAGGAAAATGGTAAAGGGGAGGTATTTCTGGACCTTTTGCTACTTGTTTGGGATTTTTATTACAAAACATGGGTGACTTCTTTCCTGTGTATGTGTTAGTCGCTCAGTCGTGTCTGACGTTTTTGTGACCCAATGTACTGTAGCCCTCCTGGTTCCTCTGTCCATGGAATTCTCTAGGCGAGAATACTGAGTAGGTTGCCATTTCTTTCTCCAGGGGATCTTTTTGTGATCGAACCGGGGTTCCTGCATTGCAGCCCTCTGAGCTACTACACCTCTTATCTTTAGGCACTAGTGTGCTCAGTTTGTGACACATTTTTTTCCCCAAGAAATTCCTCTTTCAAATGAATATGCATTATCTGACACTCTCCAATGTAATTCTGTTCATCTTTGCAAATTGTCACGGACACCTACTAGTTGAGTAATCAACATACTTTTAAATCTGTTTTAGCTTTACTTGACCATCTTTAATTGCTTTTGCAGCATTTTTATAATTTTTTATTTTTAAAATTTATTCTCAACATTGTATTGAGGGCTAACGCATTAATGTAAGAGGCTTGTGGGGTATATCCAAACCCAGGGGACCTGTTGTTGTTTTGCACCTTTTCAAGTCCTTCAGGATATAGTCTAAGCGCACTTTATGATTGAAACTCACACGTCCCTCTATCTCTTGTGAAAGTTGACAGACTCATAACTTATGGGAAATCAGCACTACTTGGATTAAAATTTTTCCTGAAAAAATGTAAATTAACTTCTCAAGATAATAATATTACTGAAGTTGGCTTCATATTCAAGATGATGTTCATCTTATATAGATGCTGAATATTAAGAAATAGGGTTCCCAGTTTCCCAACTGCCTTGGTGTCTCAGAAGCTTCCATTCGGCACACACACACATACACACACAAAACTAAAAATAGTGAAAAGTCATAACTTTACAGGCTGCTTCAGTGTAATTCCTGTTTCATAGTGTTTTCCTTTGAATAGTAATCCTGAGCCTGTAAGTGATTTGGAATGGGGTCTGTTGGTAGATTCATGTGACTAGAGTCTCATTTGTGATTAGCTTTTCAGTGAGACCTAGGCCCTCATTTGGTTGACCCTCTTTCCTATCCAGCTCCCTTTCTTGTTTTTAAGGAGATTTTAATGAACATTGATTATTCTCAAATCTTATGTTGTATACCTGTCACTCTTTCTTTTAAAGAATGTTGGTGATACCTATTTCACAGACAAGAGAACATTAGATTCTAATGTACCTTATATTACATAGGGGCTGTTATATTACGTCTTTTACTTCTTTCTTAATTATTCTTTTTCATTTCACCTTGTGAGGTTGATTTTCCATTTCTAGAGTAAAACAAACAGCAAACAAGAAGCTCAAAGAAGCCAAGTGACTGCCAAGGGGTAACAGAATGAGTAGTTTGGAGATGGCTCACCCATTTTAATTGCTCTCTCATAATCCAGTGTTATAGAATATGTAATTTATTCTTTCCCATATTGGTATTTAAGTGTTCCCTTATGGTTATTTTATAAAGAATGCTTCAATAAATAACTCTGTGGGTCCCCTTGGTCATATACCTATAAGTGGAATTAGTGAGTCGATTTCATATTTTTTTGTTGATTTTTAAATTGATTTATACTCTTACTGGCAGTGAATAGGATTTCCTTTCTCCATATTCGTGATAATTCTTGTTAAGTGTTTAATATTTTTGTATCTTTTGGCTAAGAAATATCTCATTAATTTACATTTTTCTGATTTCATGTGAATTAAGCATCTTCTCATAATTTTTTAGGTCATGCCATTTTCTTCTCTTTTGGGTCCCTGTTTATATCCTCTGCCCCATTTTCTGTTATGTTGTTTATCTTAGTAATTTGATAACTTAAAGAAAAAAACAGTCTGCATACTAATCCTCTTTTGGTGTATTTGTTACTGACCTAATCTTCCATTTGTGCTAGTATTTAAACCTTCTTAATGATGCATTTTTGACATATAGATATTTCTTAATTAGTCTTTTCTTATGTTTTAGTAGTTTCTTGTGTCTTTTTTGAACTCATTTGAGAGATACTTTTCCTATCCCTGTGTATGAAGACATTTTCCTACAATACTTTACAGTTTTGCTTTGGCGTTTAGGTATTTGATTTGTCTCAAATGTATTTTGCTCACAGTGTGAGATGGAGGTTTAATTTGATTTTTATTTTTCCTTTTGATATAAATAGTCTATTACCAAAGCATAATTTATTAAATACTTCATTCATTCCCTACAGAAATACCATGTTTTTAGGGTATAAACTTCCACATTGTCCAGGCCATTTTTGAATACCCTATTTCTTTGATGTATTTTTCTTTACTTATACTAGTGCTGTGCTATCTGAATTATTGTAGCTTTATCATCTATCTTGACATTCGATACGGTAGATTTATAGTTTTTATTCTTGCATTGTCTTGGCTATTCTTGACCTTTACTATTCAAGTTGAATTTAGGGGTAAACTTCAGAAAATAGCAAAATTCTCAATTTCATTTTGATTGAAATTATACTAACTTTATAGAGAAATTTGGGATGAGTTGACATAGTTATTGTTAAATTACTTAACATGTACAAAATAAAACTCCCAATTTGTGGGAGGTTTTCTTATATGTGTTTTAATGAAGAGCAATACTTTTCTTCAAAAATTTCTTACATAGCTTTCATAGATTTATTTGTGAGAACTTTACTTTTGTTGTTATTGTAAGATGCTTTTCAAAGTGCATTTTCTGACCAGTTGTAACTGCTGCACAGAACACTATTGAATTTTGTATATTGATCGTGTATTTAG